TATTTCTTTTCTTCACCACCATCTCGCCCCCTCCCTCTTAGTCTCAAAACTCAGGGTGTTGATTTATGACCACTGGTTTTTAAAAATGTCTTATGTATTCAAGTTTTCTGCTATATATTTATCCAGTATTTGACTTTATAATTCTGATTGACTTTGCTGCACATAATTCTCCGAAATTCCCACCATTTTTTTTTTTAATGGCTGCATTTCATTCTTAGAGCTGTGTAAGCTATATACTGCATGGTGTAGATATACCTCATTGTCTCGATCTAGTCATCCATTGGTAAACATTTTGGAACATAGAGGATTTTGTGTTGATGGTTTCGTATTCTTTGTATATATTGGAGTATCTTTTTAAACCATTGATCAGTAATGGCAAGCAGTTCCATAAGCATCCTCGAGGGTACTGACGGCCTACATGCCCCTCTGCTCCAAACCAACCCAGGCTGTTACCCCCTGTAAGTAAGCTTGAAGGAAATCTCCAGCTCCCAAATTGAGCCATCCTTTGTCAGATAGCTTTGGGGTTCTTTTGTTGATTTTTAATTTAACAAGAGATTTGCCTTGTTAAAGTTTTAGTGTTTGCAATTTAGTGTGAACTGTTGGTACAATGCAGGTTTCTAGAACTTAGTCATCTTCCATAACCAAACGTTGCTTTGCTTCCAAGCTGTCAAATAGTCCAGGCAAAATAAGATATGCATAGGATTTCTTAGTTTTGAACAGCTTTGATTCATAAGAAAAATGTGCTCAGGTTATCTACAGCTGTGCAGTCTAAGCAGTTGGTCCTTGTTATGGCCTCAGATGTAGGTGTAATTAATAGACGTTCAGCTCTCAGTTATTTTAATGATAATCCTGGAGTGACTAAATAAAGAAATTCCTTGAGGAACAAAGGAATTGTTCTTGCTCCTTTATCATCATGTGATTCCTCCATTTCTTTTTCTTTATCCTTAATTCTTTTTTCTCTCTTTCCCCCAGCTTTTTTTGATGACTAAATCCAAACTATTAAAGCCATAAGTGAACAAGAAGGTACTTCCCTGGTTAAGATATCACAGATATTACTGGCATCCCAAGATGCCCTCAATTTCACAAAGCCCTTTTTTAAAAAAAAATTTATTTATTTATGCATACCAGAACCTGGATACTGGCCAGAGGCACAGCAGGTAAGAGGATTCACCAGAGGCAGAGTGGGGAATTGACCAGGCAGACTGACTGAAATACGCTGCTGAGGGGAGCAGCAGGGAGACAGGAAGAGGTCTGCCTGCACCATGTGAGTCAGCTCCCAGGCGGGGGATCAAACCCATGCTGCAGTGGCTGTGGATAACTTCATAGTGCTGTACTTTAACCTCTTGCACCACAAGGGAGGGCCCCACAAAAGCCCTTTTATAGGAAATTTGCTGCCACCATTTGCCCAGGTATAATGATGTGTGTTCTGGAGGAATGTGAGACTTTTAGGAATTTGAACACTGTTTGGATTTGCGTCTAGATGTTTGAGCTGGAAGTGTGCAGTCTTTAAATATTACTCTCCTTAAAGTAATTGACTAACATTTGTGGATAGAAGGTGACAAAAATGGATGAAACAATCCTAGAATTATTTAGTTATTTAACAACATTATTATATTTTTAAGAGAGACACCAGTATGTCCACGTTAGCATGATATATTCTTTTGTGGCAGTTGTGGTTATAGTAGGAGGCATCTAAAAGAAGCAAATAGAAGAATAATTGGGGCACACACCCCCAACTTTCAGAGGGTAATGAGCTGAACAGTCTAGGATTCTGTCCCACAATGGTCCTGGAACCCGGCTAAGCCCCAACCAATGCAGCTTCATATGATTTGTGTTTATAAATTAGAAGAATTAGGGGGATGAAGTTTGCTGGGCTAAGTGTCCAGGTGACCCTCTCCCTTTTTGGAAGGGGAGGGCCCAGCCAAGACTCAACCTACTGGGGTCTCAGGGTGGGGCCTTCAGTAGCTAGAATGTTCTGGAGAGGCCCTTCTCTGGAAATAGCCATCAGCTCTACACATTAATGTGCTCTGTGCCCATTTTCTTTGTTCCAGTTTCGGGGCTTTCCCCTCTCCTGATAGGCATCAACCAACCCACTTGGTGTTGTCTGCCTGGACCACTGTTGCAGTTCCCTAAATGGCTTCTCTGGGCCCACTTTTGTCCTCTTATTGCCTATTGTTTACCTAAAGCCAGGATAGTCTTTTTTAAATATTTATTTATTTATGCATACAGAACTGGTGTATAGGTCAGAGGCACAGGGGCAGTGAGAGGATTCACCAGAGACAGAGTGGGGAGCAGAACAGGCCGACTAACAAAGTACACTGCTGAGGGGAGCAGCGGGCGGGTCAGGAGAGGTCTGCACCATGTGGGTCACCTCTGGGGTCCGGGATTGAGCTCACACTGAAGCCACCGTGGCTGACTTGTAGTGCTGCGTCCCAACCTGCCGTGCCACCAGGGAGGGCCCACCAGGATAGTCTCTTTAAAAGACAAACCAGGCCCTCCCTGGTGGCGCAGTGGGTTAAAGCACAGCAGTAAGAAGCTAAAGCCACTTTAGCGTGAGTTTGATCCCCACCCTGGAGGTGACCACATGGCATTGCAGACCTCTCCTAACCCGCCCACTGCTCCCCTCAGCAGGGTGCTTCCTTGACCTGCCTGTTCTGCTCTCCACTCTGTCTCTGGTGAATCCTCTCACCGCCCCTGCACCTCTGGCCTGTACTCTAGTTCTATATGCATAAATAAATAAATCTTTAAAAAAAAAAAAAAGACTAATATAGCTGTCTCCTCCCTTAGTCAATCCTAAATTGTTGCACTCAGAAAGAACGTCAGCCTTTTCATCGGCCCACCTGTGACACTTGATCTCGACCTGCCTAGGGCTCTGCCCTGGACTGGTGTTTCCTCTTCACTCACCCCCGGCCTCACTGGCCCTCCTCATTGGCCCTACATGCTGAGCTCCCGACCCCAGGAGCCTCCACTTGCCACTGCTATGCTGCTGCCATTCCCTGCCTGTGCATATCAGGTCACAACTCAAATCTCACCACAGCCTCCCTGGCCATCCTCCCTGAAGTAGGGGTTCCCTGTGCTCATGCAGCCCGGGATCCGCTGAATGCTGTTTTTTCAATTTCCAAATCACTCTGGGTGATATTTTTGTAAAATGTAACAAATACATCAAGCAATGTTCTATCATTTATAACACTCCTCTTGCTCTGTAAGTCCTCACGTGAGACTGTCCCTGGATTCTTGCTTGGAAGTTGTCACATTAAGCCCAAATAACATACAATAAAGCTGATTCTTATTCAGTGTCAACTGGAAGTTTTTTTTTTCATCAGCATTATCATGAAATATTTAAAGCTCTGCATGGATTTTGTTACTAAAAACTACTTTCCTTGTTGACATTCTTTTTAGTAAGGTCAAGAGGACTGAGCAAACTTTTTCTGTAAAGGGCTGTATCTTGAATATCTTAAGTATTATGAGCCACATAGGTCTCTGTAACCCTTTCTCTCCTCCCTCCCTCCCCCTCGACCCTTTAAAAAGAACTAATCCTGGGCCCTCCCTGGTGGCACAGCGGGATAAAGCACATCACTAAGAAGCGAAAGCCACTTCCACATGAGTTCGAACCCCTCCACTGGAGGTGATCCACTTGGCGTGGCAGACTTTTCCTGACCCGCCCGCTGCTCCCCTCAGCAGTGTACTTCGTCGATCTACCTGTTCTGCTCCCCACTCTGTCTCTGGTGAAGCCTCTCACTGCTCCTGCTCCTCTGGCCTGTACCCCAGTTCTGTATGAATAAATAAATCTTTAAAAAAAAAACTATTCCTTGCGTGCGTGCCATCAGAAAGCAGGCCGGGATGGTTTGCCCATCCCCTAGGCAGTTAGAATTGTTTTTCAAGGTAGTTTTATGTTCTGTTTGAATGAAGTAAGCAATGTGACACTAAAAGTTGTATTTCTTCATTCTTTTGCAAAAAAATGTTCACTGTGATATTCATACTTTACATTCTTTCTTGTTTCCAAGTATGTTGTAATCATAAATGAAGTTTAGAGCAGCTTTCTCTCAACACAGAATGGCACTTGCCGAGAGCAGGGCTGGCGGTCTGTGTGTAATGAGCCCAGGAGTAGGTCGTCTGAACTGAGATGGACCTGCAGACCCGGGCGCTGCATCCCAAAGTAGTCTGACCAGCACCCATTCAAAACCACTCACTTCCTAAAGTTTCCTCCTCAGTTTTTACCTGTTCCTGGAGAGCTGATACATCCCTGTTTCACTTCTTAGCAGTAACCAGTTTCCTTTAGGAGACCATAGTACTACACATTTTGTAACTGATATGCTGTTAGTGAGATACACTTGGATACATCTGGCCCTTGTGAAAGCTACGCCCTTTCTAGCATCTCCAGAGTCCTGAGGCCATCTGTTGCCCTTAAAGCCAGTGTTGTTGATATTCTAATTCAGTCACCCATTCTCCAGTTTGGTTCATGGATTCTTTAGTTTCACTTTTTAGCAAAGTCCTGTGAAACCGACAAGACTGTACATCTTTAAAAGTTAGTAAGTTAAAAATAAAATTGATAACATGATGCCTCAGTTCCTCTGACTTGGTTTCTTTAACTGCAATGTCTTTTGTGTTCCCTGGCTGCTAAGAAGCTTGGAACCTGACTCACTGTGAATATAGTTGATTGATAGTGTATGATTTGACTGGCAGTATAGTTTCATGCTTATTAAAAGCATAAAAATCGGAATCAACTGCACTTCCAAGCTGTGTGATATTGGACAATTTTTTAACCTCTCTTAGCCTCAGTTTCCCCTTTTGTATATCTGGACTGCTATTAGAATCTTCTCCATAGAATTGTGAGTACTAAATAAATTAATATTTCTTTGGTATATAGTTAGTGCTTGTTAGCGTTAGATATTATTTGAGGGCGAAAATTTGCTCTTACTGATACATACTAATAAATAACTTTCTATGTAGAAATGTTATGCAGTTCTGACTTGCTCTTCCCATTGGAATTTTCACTACAGGCTTTCGTAGAAGCCCAGAACAAGATTACTGTGCCATTTCTTGAACAGTGTCCTATCAGAGGTTTATACAAAGAGAGGATGACTGAGCTGTATGACTATCCCAAGTATAGTTGCCACTTCAAGAAGGGAAAACGGTATGTTAGGTTGCTTTTGTTTAAGTTTCCTTTTACTTTTCTTATGGACTGCTTTCTTAAATGATAAAATACAAATGTAAATAATCAAGAGGTTTATGAAATTTATTCATTAGACTCATTTTTTCTTGCTTGAGTATGAGGATATTTTATTGCCAGTTATTGTCCAAACTGTTCAGAGTTGAGAAACGTATTTGGCATATGTCCTAGGAAGAAATCTGAAATGTAGGAAATTATTCTTGCCTTGAGGTGGCCAGTTGTCTTGGTGGCTAGTAATTTTTGAGGTAGGACTTATAGACAGCATTGGAGATTTATTTACTTGTGAATTTAATTATCATTGACTTAAACTACTAGAAAACATTTTTCTAGAAAACATTTTTATGATACACATTTCTTCCATCCAAGAGAGGAGATGGACCAAAAAGTGACACTTAATTTACCTCTCTTGTTCCTTTGCCTTTCACACCCAGTTGGACATTTTCTCTTGTTCTATTTTTTTTTTTTTTTAAGTCTCTGGAGCCATACATCACAAATTTATTTTAGAATTACTTAGACACCTCCTTCAACTGGCATCACCAAATTACGGTCTGCCCAACCCTGCATAGCACTTGGTTTTACACAGTTTTAGTGGGGAAAAAACCACGTCCATTTGTTTGTGTGTGAACCAGGGTTGTTTTTGTACAACTGCACAGTTGAGTAGTTGTAGCAAAGACCATATGCCTCCAAAGCATAAAGCATTTGCAGTTTTGCCTGTTATAGAACAGGTACTCTGTCCCTAACAGCCTGGCTAACAAAGGGAACCACCATTTATTTCTCCATTGAAAAGAAAAGTCACTTCTTTTTTTTTTTTTTTAACTTTTATCCTCTAACAATTCTTTCTATTTAGCCAATATACACCCTTATAGTAAGTTACTCGAATATCTAAAGCAATTCAGGCAAAAACTCAAGCTGTAGGAAGAGATGGGGACCTGTGTCCTGGATGTGACCCGCACCTGTTTGCAGTTGTACCTTTGTATGTTGTTGTTTTTCCTTTGGGGTGTATGTGTTTAGTTTTACTTCGCAAACAGAAAACTCTGCAGCTAACCATGATCATCTCTGTCTCCAGGTATTTCTATTTTTACAATACAGGTTTGCAAAACCAGCGAGTATTATATATACAGGATTCCTTAGAAGGAGAAGCCAGAGTTTTCCTTGACCCAAACATTCTCTCTGATGATGGCACAGTAGCACTCCGAGGTGAGTGCTACCCAGGGGAGTCCGGAACTTTCACTGCAGTTCACTATTGTTGCAGTCACCCCTCCTTTGAAATGCCAGACAGAATGCGGACCAGCTTGGGGAACAGATGCACACACAATGTCAGGAAAGCTAATTTTTGCACAATATATTTAGAACACACAAGTATCACATTCTTCTGATGGCATGAAGCAGCAATGTAGAATAATTCACACTACACTCAAATTAGCTTCTGGGGTTTCTGAGACCTTGAAGTATTATTATTCTTTCTCATAGCATCCCTGAGACCTATCTGTGATGGGAAAAAAATTAATCCTCTTATGAGAAAGTTAAGCTTCTGCAAATAGTTGGGCTTGTAAGAATAATGTTCAACCCCCAGTGAGTTGATCAAACAATCATAAGAGGAAAACTCTGGTATCAAGTCTGGTATCAAATGCTATATTTACTTCATGCTGATAAAAGCCAGTGTATATGTGTAAGTATTTGTAAAGAAACATTCCATGGTGATTAAAACATTCTGTCTGTCCTTGCTGTAGACCTGGACCTGTGCGCAGTCTCCAGATAGCACTGTTTTACCCTTTTTGGGGGTCACTGGTGGAATGTGTGCTGCGTGAGCCCTCCTCACAAGCCCCCAGACTGTTTGCCTTGGCTGGTGTGGTCAGAGGGTGTGCATATTAATCTTGGAGTGCCAGAAATGCTTGGAAAATGAGGTTGTGAGGCATGATTTCAAATAGTGTGGAATCCATTCCAGAAATTACCTAATAGCTTCAATTTAGTTGCATTACATGGTATGTGGCATAATTTTGTCATTACTCTTAAGTAGCCTCTTTACTCCTTTTCTCCCTCCTTCCCTTTGGAGCATAAATAAAGTGTCAGAAGTCCCAGGTAAGCTCTGCTTTTAATGGAACTGCCTGCTGAATTATCGGAATTTTAAAATGGAGCCATCTTAGATAACATCCGATGTTTCGTTTTACAGATGAGGAACCTAAGACCGAGATTGGTTAGGGAAGTCATCCAGTGTCAGAGCTCATCAAACTCAGCCCTCAGCACTCCTCATTGGCAGTTTCCTATTCCTTCTTCCATGATCTGCTTCCAAGTACAGCAGAGCTTGGGCAGTGGGCAAGGCTAGGAGTCATGTCCCCACCGCATTCACCATTTGGGAATTTCCTGCATCCCACAGGCTATGCATTCAGTGAAGATGGAGAATATTTTGCCTATGGTCTAAGTGCAAGTGGTTCTGACTGGGTGACGATCAAGTTCATGAAAGTCGATGGTGCCAAAGAGCTTCCAGATGTGCTTGAAAGAGTCAAGTTCAGCTGTATGGCCTGGACCCATGATGGGAAGGGAATGTTCTACAACTCATATCCCCAACAAGATGGAAAAAGTGATGGTAAGCTATGACTTCAGATGAATTGTCTTTCTCATAAAATAGAAATTATGACTTCACATGATTTAAGAAGACACTGAATCCTGCATAGAAATTGTCTTGTCTAGAACCAGGTTTCCTCAGAGGACACTGAGTTAACAGTGATGTGCATCCGATCACCCCAAACCTAATGACTTAGAATAATGATCATGTACCTTTGCTTGTGCATCTATGGGTTGGCCAGGCAGTTCCTGGTTTAACTTTTTTTTTTAAAGATTTATTGATGCATACTAGAACTGGGGTACAGGCCAAAGGTGCAAGGGGTGAGAGGATTCACCAGAGACAGAGTGGGGAGCAGAACAGGCAGACTGACCGAAACACTGCTGAGGGGAGCAGCAGGGCAGGTCAGGAGAGGTCTGCTGTGCCATGTGGGTCACCTCCCTGGCTGGGGGTTGAACCCCTGCTGCAGTGGCTGCAGATAGCTTCATAGTGCTGTGCTCTATCTAACCTAACCCCCTGCACCACCAGAGAGGACCCTTAGCTATGTTTTACCTTATGTCTGATTAGCTGTGGGTCAGTGATTGATCGTAGCTTGGTGCTTTCACATGCCTGGGGCCTAAGCTCTGCTCCGTGTGCTGGCTCATCCCTAGCAGACTCCTGGTTTTGTTTAATGGTAGCTCAGCAGGATTAAGGCAGGAGGAGCTCAAGGCGCAGCCTCTGCGAGGCTTAGACGTGCTATTGGCACAGCATCATTTCACTGCATTCTGTTGGCCGAAGCAAGTCATAGGATTAGTCCCTATTCAAGAGGTGGGGAATAGAGTTGTAAAAAAACTGGGGCTATTACTGCAATCAATCCTTCACAAGTATATCTTCCAAGGGGATCATGGACGTGTTTTGTTTCATATTTAGTGATCTTGAGTAATGAGAAAATTGTCCTATGGCATCTTTTCTTAAAATCAAAAGTTTCAGGTCCTATATTGGCTCCAGTTATCTTGATTCTTTTCTTCTTGTTAACTCTTAGATACATCCTTGTTCTTCTGTTACACAAAGATCCTATTGTATTCAAGTGTTTCTTCTTTCCTTGCATCTTTTTACCTTTTCCATAAAGGAAAGGCCATGTATCTGGTATCTGTATGTTTCACATTTAGGCCTGTGGACCATTTCAAGTTAAATTTTTGCAAAGGGTTTTAAGGTTTGTCTGGATTCTTTTTTTTTTTTTTTTCCGGCATGTGAATGTGCAGTAGTTCCAGCTATTTGTTTTGTTGAAAAGGCCGTGTTTTCTCCATTGTACTGCCTGTTCTTCTTTATTAAAAATCAGTATCATGGCCCTCCCTGGTGGCGCGGCGGGTTAAAGCACAGCAGTGAGAATCTAAAGCCGGTTCCGCATGAGTTCAATTCCCGCCTGCCCCGGAGGTGACCACATGGCGCAGCAGACCTCTCCTGACCCGCCCGCTGCTCCCCTCAGCAGTGTACTTCATCCATCTGCCTGTTCTGCTCCCCACTCTGTCTCTGGTGAAGCCTCTCGCCACCCCTGAGCCTCTGGCCTGTACCCCAGTTCTGTATACACAAATAAATAATAAATCTTTAAAAAAGAAAAAAATCAGTTGAATACAGCATACACACAATTCTAAATGCTCTTGCTCTGTGCTCTCTGTTCTGTTCCATTGATCTGTCTACTTATTTGCTAGTGCACTGTTTTGATTACTTATTCTAAGTCGTGAGGTCCGGTAATGCTAGCTAGTCCTCTAACTTTGTTCTCTCCCTTCCCTTCAGTATTTTGTTGGTTATTCTGGGTTGGGTTTTTTGGTTTTTAGTTTTTCCCCCTCTTGACATGAACTTTAGAATCCTTGAAATAATTTTTGATAGGCACAAATGACTTGCTGGGATTTTGATTGGAATTTCATTGAACCTTAGATAAGCAGAAAACAACTGGCATCTTGGCCATGTTGCATCTTCCTACCCATAAACATGGAGTGTGTCTATTTGATTTCTTCCATCAGGGTTTCGTAGTTTTGTGCATGTAGGTCTTATACATATTTCGTTTGATTTATACCTAAGTAGTTTATTGCTGGGGGAAGGGTTGCAATTGGTACTTCTGTGATTTTAGTTTCAAATTTGCCTTGTATGTTGCCGGTATAAAGGAAAGTGTCAATTTTTATCTATGAACCTTGTATTCTACAACATGATAACCTTTTTTTTTAAAAAAATGTAATATAATCGTTTATTTTTACATCATTTTGTGCCTTTTTCCATCTCAGTTGTCATCCCTGTGGGCTTCCCATCACCAAATCACCCATGTGCCATCACCATAGTCCAGTGCATTTCCCTCCCCCCGCTGTTTTTGATCCCATTCCCCACTCCACCCCCACAAAATGTCTCTGGTATATAGCTGCTCATCATTATTATAACATGGTACTTTTTAAATGTTTCTAGCATTATACAATGTGAATAGCATAGACTTTCTTAAAATCATCAACTACATTTCAGTATACATTTTTATCCCCTTCAGGCACAGAGACCTCCACCAATCTCCACCAAAAGCTCTACTACCATGTCCTGGGGACTGACCAGTCAGAAGATATTTTGTGTGCTGAGTTCCCTGATGAGCCCAGATGGATGGGTGGAGTCGAGGTAGGGTGCTACTGTCACCTTCACACACACAGATGGTCTTTCAGGGGTGGTGTGTATAAAGATTCCTCACTTGATGCTCTCTTGGGAGGGTAAAAGTCTTTTTAGTGAGCAGAATTAAAATTGTTTATACACAAATTGACTCAATAATGAAGGCCAGTAAGTTTTTCAGTTGGAAGCTTAACACATTGATCCATACCAAAACTAATGCGTGCTTACTCTAAGACATGTGAAACAGTATTGAATAATGTTGCAGATAAAGTAAAACAGGAACATTTTGAAACTCAGAATCCTGCATCTCAGAAGTGAGAAGATTATCCTTCCAAAATTTTTTGCTTTATGTGTAAGTGAGACTATTAGGACAGAGAGAGAGAAAGTGAATTTTCCTTTTTTCCCAGCTGCACTCTTAATGTGTAGTGTTCACTTGATTTTACATTTACTTATGTATGTTCTAGACAATTTCCCATCTAATAACTAGTTTGTAGGTCCTTGGGAGTCTCATAGCAGCCAGCGTCTATTGAAGTGATGCCTCTTTGAGGCTACTGGTCCAGGGTTTATTGGCAGAAATCAACTGTGAAGCAACTTAGAGGCACTTAGAATAAAAACTTGACTCTTGGTTGCTCTTTTCTGAATCCTAAGAAATGGGTTTATTTGGAAGGAAAAAAAAAACATTCTGGTGTTTTCATATAGGTGGGCTGTCCCATTTTTAGTGGAAGTTAGGAATCCACCAGAAGCTCTCTAGTTCATCGAGCCACTTTTCTGAGAAACAGAACTTTGATAACAAAGGGACATTTTAAATTTAAAATTCTGGTTCTGGGTCTGGTTATGGGGGGGATAGAATAGGAATCCGCCTGTGCCTAGGTCCATGTGTGTACCCACTGTGTTCCAAATTGTCCATTCCTTTGTTTCTTTATAGCCCAGGATTGGCAAACTCCTGGCCTCAAGGCAGATATGGCCACTTCCAGATTCTGCAAATAAAGCTTTATTGGCTCTCAGCCACACCCTTGTTTACATTTTGT